CCCCCCCCCCCCCTGGAACCCCACCATGGCCGCCATGGCTTTTGTTGAGCTGGTCTCTGGGGAACGAGTGCAAACGCTCTATATTAGGCTCTAGCTGAATTAGACGACCAAAGGAAGAGATCTGATTGGCTTCTGAGAGAAGCACTAATTACCGGAAGTTGAGCAGTTTTCGCTTGGCAAAACAATGTCAACACAATTACTTTGTTTCTTCTCATTACTTATTTTTCTCCTCGCAGCGTTGAGATAGCGCGCATGCGCATTAAAACTACTGCAGGTTTTCTTCCACTTCCGGCTTCCGTGTACCCCTTGGCCTATGATTTTTCCAGTTCCACGTCTTCTTCGTTCTTTCTTAAGGTGAATGTGTGGTCCTGAAATGTAACCGAGTAATTACTTTTTTTACTGTAAGGAGGGCTGGAACTAAGAAAACGTCGTGCATTAGTAAAATGGTCTTTTCACGTTCTTACGTGGAAGTAAAGAACACTGGCTTCAAATGATTGAATCGAGTTTTGTTCATATTTCAGTGTGTCGCATCAGATTACTTGAGTGATGCTGATCATTTGACTGCAGAATGGATGGTAACGTTTACTGTATTTTTTTAAAATTCATACCATGACAAATGTATAGTTTTAAATTACCAATTTTACGAGTGAAATGAACCTTATTGTTATGGTAAGAGTGCCTGGAAAATTAATGTCGTTATAGTGTCGTTAATAGAGACCTTACGTTTTTAGGACGGCAACCGCGACGGCAACGGCTACCAATACAATAGATTATTGAAAAGAATTGAGTAATTACAATAAATGAATCATTTAGACATTGTCCTCGCTCTGTTTACAACGCCAAATCACAGATTTTCACGTGTTGATACAACGGCTGCATTCCAAGCCACAACAAGTGCAACTTCAAACTTGGTTTAGCAGAACTCTTCCCAACCATAAAACCCATGTCTTCAACTTCTAAAACTGTATTAAATTCATACGACTGATAATATACGACGAACTATCGAATACCATTTATTTCAAGGAGTTTCTTTTGGCCGTCGCCGTCGCGGTTGCCGTCCTAAAATCGTAAGGTCTCTAAAGAGAGCCTGGGTGCGAGGTTGATTAATTACCGCGGATAGTGTCCCCTCGTACGTATTGAGCGTGAGATGCTCAGATTTATAAGGATTTTCAAAATCTGCTTTTTGTCAAATTCTGCTAAGGCCACTACAAGTTAATCTTTAGTTTCTGGTCCGGCCTTACCTTCGTTTACGACGCGGGCGGGCGGGTGGTTAGGACTATAGGACATAATTACAATTGTAGCTTTGCCCACATATTTGTGGTCTTTCTTGTCCCTTTTCATGCTAATTGTATCAAAATGTTATGAAATTTTACATAAATTGCATTTATATTATTTATAAATCGACATGTATGACAGATTACAAAGGATTTTACATATCAAAATGATCTATTAATATTTCTAGTTTTTTTTACCTCGTAATTTCGATAAAACAGCGGTTTTACTACATTTTGCTAGGTGTTTTTAGTGTAAATTGAATATTTATCGTTCTATAAGTTAAATCCTTCGCGAAAATTTTCGGGAATTAGAAATTAATTGTAAACAACAAAATAGTCCTGAAATAATACTTTACGAAGAAAGGACGCGGGCGGCGGACCAGAAACTAAAGATTAACTTGTAGTGGCCTAAATAAACATTCTTAATTTTGAAGAATAACTCGCCGTGTTTCAATACTGAGTTAATATTTAATAGATAATTACTGAGGCCAACGGCATTATTCGATATATTGCCGCCAGCTGAGGCCGAGGCTGGCTGCAATATATCGAATAATGCCGTTTGGCCGAAGTAATTATCTATTATAATTACTGACCCGAATCAAAAGTAATTATTTTCGGCTGGAAGACTACGTTGCTGCTTGTTGGGACCGTATGACAATGAATCTATCCAACGTTACACTAGACATTTGTGAGGACATGCATGTAATGCATCGTGATAGAACAGATTTCAGTTTAATTAATCGCCCTAAATTAAAATTTCCACAAGCGGAGGTCAATTATAGTGTTCTAGTTTACATATTATCATTAATGATAAGGTTAATTCAAAGGCGTGTTAAACTGGATAAACACGGGAATAGAACTTATGGTGTGTTCTGCACATGCGTATATCTAGGATAAAATCCCACAAGCGCAAATGAAACTATTTGTCTATAAAGTTGAGCTGCTTCAGGCGCCCGATGATATTGTATGAGGGGCCTTTAGCACTGTCAACTTCTCATCTTGAGATGTTCACGTTATCGCGTGCACTTGTCAGGATGACGAAGGATTGCGACACGCTGCATTATTTTTAATAATGCTGTGTGCACGCTGCATTATTTTTAATAATGCTGTGTGCACGCTGCATTATTTTTAATAATGCTGTGTGCACGCTGCATTATTTTTAATAATGCTGTGTGCACGCTGCATTATTTTTAATAATGCTTTGTGCTATTTTAGCCCGTATAAACGTGCTATTTTAGCCCGTATCAAAAAAGACCGCTCCCGTTTTTCAGAAGAACGCTAAAACTTCTCGACATTCGATGATATAATGCAGAGAGAAAACAATAGGTTATTATGACCGTCAGTAATTATATCTTTCTATTGTATAGTATCTATCGATCTATCTACTTCATAAAATAATAAATGAATTCTGACGACCGCCTGGTGTCTATTATGGAAACGTAAATTGTATCTAACTGCATAGCTTCACAAAAACATTGAAAATATTAATAAGAAAAGGTTCTACTTCCTGCAAAAAGTCCCCAAAAGTCTGATAAAATTCCTAAAAAGTCCAATTATAAAATGTCCGGACTTTCGAAAGTCCAAAAATCTCGTAAGTAGGTATAGTTACAGCGTTCAACCAACAGCTATTCTTGAATATTGTTTAACACTGCCTACACTGAAACCCCAGATAGATATAGAGATATCATCATCATAAAAAACGTCAAATTTATTGCTGGTTTTTCCTTTTGAGCTGAGCAAAACGTTACTTTAAATTATCATACCCAAAGTGTGAAGGCTGGATCGAGCGATGTCGATGATGAGAAAATTGGCAGTCATGCATTGTTACAGGGACATTTTAAGCATTAGATTAACATTGTTCCAAAATACGTGTGTTTAATAGACTGACATTTAAAACAGTTGCACTTGCATGGGCAAGCTGGGCCAAAATCGGTTGCCTAGATACGGACTTGAGACGTTTGAGATTCGTTGTTAACGGCGTTTTTATAAAGGCCCATTTCCACTCAAGAAAAATTTCCACGGACAGGAACGTTTCCAAAAATAACATTGTTAAAAGTTGAAAATTTGTGTCGGCAAATCACATTTTGCAAAATTTTCTTTCTGCGGAAAATTTTCCTGAGTGGAAATGGACCTTAAGGAAATAATGCTTTATAGTATTACTTTTATTTGATTTTTGTCAGTAAAGCTTTAAACAACATAGTTTCGAGTCTGGAAAACAACATGCATGATAGTGTTGGGAAAGCATTAAGAACAGCTAACCAAGATCGCGTGACTGCCAGCTCTCGTGCACTCTCATCCTTGTTTTAATCCACTCAGGCTTCTCAGGCTTAAGATCCTTTAAAAGCTAGACAACAGTAGCCCACGTGGCATGGGGCTGCCCGCAGGCTACACACGTAAAAACGCACAAGTTGTAACAAACCTGCAGCAGACTTGTAGTAATACTGTTCCAACAACTTGTCAACAGGATTCGCACTGCTTGTTCCCAGCTTGTTGACAAGTTGTCAACGGCTTGTCGACAACTTGCTGCAAGGTTGTTGAGCTCAACAGGCTTGTTACAAGTTGTTCCAACAACTTGTTATCGTCCTGCAATTCAACAATCTGTCAACAAGTTGTGAATGACAACCTTGTAGCAACGTGATAAAATAACAGCATCATTACAACTTGTTGACAAGCTTGCTACAAGCCTGTTGCCAACACATCTTGTTGACAAGTTGTGAGATTTTTACGTGTGTAGACAACAGCTGATCATCTGCTTACATTTTAGCACCGCTCAACATTGTATTGTTACACACCTTCTGTTGCAATCAGAGGACTAATGTTTTGTAACCATGGTCAAGCTGGGAATCAAACCAAGAACGTATGGCGTCCTTTACATAAACCAAAGTGGTGGGATGTTTTTAAACAAACGCGACATAATAACTCTACAGCGATGGACTTATTTAAAGGTAGCCTATAAATATAATTCACTAATACCATGATCGCTCCGGATTCTGTTTTCTCTGAGGGAATGTTAACCTCTTATTTCCGGCCTTTTTGCTCTTGCGTGAGAGACATTTTTCTTTTGTGTTCTAATTTTCCCGCAGTCATAATAATATGCACGCGGGAAATTTAGTGGGAAACTTCAGGAGTATGTTTGTGTACTAGAACTCGATTTGGATTAAAAAAAATTCCGGCTGCTAAAATTTCAGTAACACCCATGAAGATGACCTCAAAGCAAATTAGTACAACATGCACGCGAGTATACATGTACATGGAATTTCGGTGCCTTCTAGTAGAGAATATTAATCAAGTTTGAGAATTATTTTGTTCTTTCATGCAGGTCATACACGAAATGGACGACAGTTACATTGTGAATATATACCGTATCTTGCACTCAGTGATGTTCCGTTACGTTCACCAGGTATACTCATATATACAGTAAAAATGTCATATTTAGTTTTAATTTTGGCTTTAGATTCATATTCTTGACGCATAAAAAGGACATGGCGCAGTAAAATATGATCAAAATTTAATGCAACCATGAAATTCAATGCTTGCTTTGAAAAATTTAAATTCCAGGGTACAGACTGGAAACTGGGCGGGCAGTTTGTCCTTAAAGTCAATTGTAAAAAAAAATGGGCAATTGTACTTAAAAGCGGACGAAATATCCTTCGATGTCTAAATGTATGTGTCGAAATTTTGTTCAAAGGAAAAGTGGGGGCTCCTGAGCAGGCTAATTAACATGGCCACTATTGGTACACTGATGCGAACATACACATTCGGCAGCTAACAAATACACACATATCAGTAGGTGATGTCTTCTGATGGTAGACATACTTTTGTTTTCCTCTAGGCCAAATAAATTATCTTCAGACCGTTTGCAAATTTTCAAGAAATTTGTTTTCATTCAGGTGAGTTTCTATTCATCAACGCGGTCTTATTATTTATGGATATTTATGTATACTTATTATATATGGTTATTTTGGCAACCTTATATGCACTCAGTGTAGTGTCTGCATGATCAGTTCCTTGCCCATGTGCGTGGCAAAATCTGAGAAATGTTGATGAGTCGGAAAAAGAGAACGGCAAACTGCGGTTGCGCATAACATGGCCTGTAGTGTCAGGGGGCTGTAAGTTCTTGACCTGCTTTGATCCACATACAATCTATAGACTATACATTATATACTTGCCAGAGATAACGGTGGTAGTCTACAAGATAAAGAAATTGACGATAATGAGAGTGAATTAGACTCTTCTCAACCACAATTAAGTCAGGGCAGGCTGGTGGATGACAAGGAAATACTTGATGTAACTCGAACTGAGGTGCACGACGATATTCAAGAGTTTGATAGTGACTAGAAACATTGTGATATAATATATTCTGGCTCAAAGCTCTGGTAAAATATTTATATTTATTTCTTTGATATACAAAATCATGATGTATTTGTGAGGGTTTGTGTGTGTATAATGCAACTACCTGAGAAATGTGAACAAACAAACTTCCACTTTTGTTCCTTTGCTTCAGGTAGTTGCATCCAGAGACGTGGCCCCCACTTTTTCGAACTTTTCTTCAGGACCAATTTTGTAATTCTTTCAAAATTGAGGAGAAACTGGAGGGAGGCGTAACCTCTTAATGTTTTGATATATGACGGCTTTCAGATTATCATAAAATCTGTCTAAAATGCATGCAATAGCGTTTCGTAGAATAAGTTTCCGGGCGACTGTGCGCCCGGCCTGCCGGACAATTAGACTCCCCACTCGTTTGGGACTGGCTACGTCCCTGGTTGCATCTTACATAAAAACCCTCAAGTTGCATTCTTCGCTACCTACACTGCAGACTCATGCTCGTTGATACCAATGCATGCATATAAGATTGAGCTCACAATTAAAAAATTCGTGGTATAGGTTGGTTTTTCTGATTATAATGATGCAGACGATAGACGTGCTGAACAAACAGTTGTTAGAGTGAAATAGTCTTCGTAATTGAGAATGAATTGTTACAGCTCGAACAGGCAAACCGAGGCCGCTTTTGCATATTTTTGATGTTTTCAAACTAAGCCATATAACCAATCACCAGTGGGTTATTTTGACTAAACATTTTCAGGTTATGAACTTATGACGTAGCCATAGGTCTAAATAACCCGCTGGTGCAATGTATTCGCTTAGTTTGAAAACATTAAAAATACGCAAACGCGGTCTCGGTTTGCCTGTTCGAGCTGTAAATAGACTAAATAGGCCATTTCCGAATTACGGTCTACCACAGACAACAGCTATAGTATGAGAACGAGTCTTGCTGTTATTGTTCCTGACAATCAGAGCGTAATTCGAAACTGGTCTATTGAGAAATATAGTTATGATATCGCTTGCTCCTACAACTGTAAACAGTTCAGAGGTTGCAGCATTTGCGAGCGCATCTGACGTCATATAAATGTTTTGGGAATGTGGATAGCGATGCATCTAGTGCTGTGCTTGACGAATGATCAACACATGAACATCATTCCTTATCTGCTTAAACCCGCGCAAAATAACTTGAAAAGATACTTAGTGCACAATTTCCGTTCGCTACTCTGGTTTGAGTAAATGAATACAAACCCCGACGGTTCGACATTGGGCTTCATGCTCCCGATTGATCGAATAATCGATTTTTTGTCATTTTTGGCAATCGATTATCCTTAACGATAATTGATGATCAACAAAACAGCCGTGCATAGCATGATATTCTGAGTTTCTTCCCGATTGAAAATAAATGTGATAACATACAAACGTGATTTGTTTTGATTTACCACTTACGCTCCTATTTAATGGCTGTCGAATAGAAACTATATAAAACCCATATGGCATCAACTATTTCGCTGACCTCAGAATGACATTTCGTCAAAACCTTTTGCTTCAAGATTGGTTTAGAAACAAATTTGGAGTAGGGTTAGGTTAGGGTAAGGATTAGGGTTAAGGTTAGAGTTGGTGTTTGGAGTAGGGTTAGTGTTAGTAAAACCGTTGCTTTACGTTTTATCACTCTGAGGCCAGCGAAATAATCTCTTCCATAAAACATGCCCCATTCTTGGAAGCGATATTAACCACTGTGAACGTGTCTAGATTTATTCAATACGATTAATCGATGTTAATTACATTACATTATTATAATTCACTCCCCATCGGAGCTTGTCAGTGACCAATTACATCAAGTATTAGGCTTATTTTTATGTTACTTAGCCTAGACTATTTATCTTTACAACAATTTATTTATTTCATTTATTTATTTTGCCACAATAATTACAAGAGCTAGCTATGATTTACTTAACAGAAAACATTTTCCGTGTTGATATACAGTTATATCAACACGAGTGGAAATTGGAAAAACAAGAAATTGTGTGGAAACACAACGCCTGGAGGGCGGAGTCTTTTTCACACAATTTCCAGTTTTTCTAGCCAGTTTCTACGAGTGTTGATATAACTGTATATCAATACGAAAAAATGTTTTATATTTTTTATAACATGGTCTTAGCCAATCAGCGTTCAGAATTTACAAATGCTGTATTATAAAATTACATATACAATATTAACCGAAAAACAACTATAGTATAAACTCTTTAAGAGGGAAAATGTGGCAGGATATCCACAACAGCAAACGCTAATTACTGCGGTGGTCCCTTGTCCAAACAAAAATCAATACTATTAAGACAAACTGACAAAACAAAACAATTGCGATATTACTGACAACAATTGATGTTTGTCCTGACCCACTCCTGGTACGAGGAAACCGTAGCGCCCGGAGAAACCGTCGACTTTCGGTAGAACGTTGACAGACCCTTTGCACATGAGACCGTAGTGAGAATAGAACCCACGGACCACGACCTCATAGGTGAAAGGCCCTTACTCTGACGACTGCGCCACCGAAGCCTCGATAGATTGTTCATACATAGGAAAGCGAAGCGATTGGAGCAGCTCTATAGTTCGACACTCCAGTGAATGTCATATGTTTGGGATTTCATTCATTAACTTTATAAGCCAGAGTACTCAACTTATCACTAACAATTAATATTTCGTAGAATTAACTCCTTCCCGAAATTGCGAAACCCCAAATTTATTAGTAACAAAATTTGGGGTATTCGCAATTTCGGGAAAGAGTTAATTCTACGAAATATTAATTGTAAATATCAGAAGCATGACTGAGGTGGCACACTGCATTTGCGCGCATTGTCATTCCAATAGTGAGAACACGGAATATCATTTAAAAGAATATCCTTTCTGGGGTACACAAGATTGAACTAACATACCTACACAAGGTCTTATTAGATGCATACGCAAATGAATTAATTAAGCCTGAGAGAAACTGAGACGTATATTTACATGATGTTACACTGATACACTGACCATTTTCTGCTGAAGTGTCTTTGTTATTCTCTGCAGAGATTATATATGTGCTCTTTATTATGTATAGCCAGAAAGAATACAACATGAGAACGGATTAAAATACAAAAGAATTCTTAGTCCTTAGATATTCCAAATTCCAAGTTGTCTGTTAACGTATTATAGTCATACTAAAATAGGTTCATCCGCATTACAGCACTTTACATTTATAATACCTATTAAACTGTCTTATAAATATAGAATGTTTTTTATTTACAAACATCAGTTGTCAGGAGAACAGTTCATGGAAACGAGAGTTGCTTCTAATATGTATACATCCTTCGTCGTCATCACAGGAACGTTCTATAAATAGGAAAGAATGTTGTTAATCCACTGACCTCTATAATAGATCTAGGTAAACCTATGACTACAGTTACATAGTAACCTACAGTCACTATGACTACTGTTTACAAACTCCGCTCATACCGGTACCGATTTTGGATTACAATTATAAACGTATTATCTCGAATTCAGGATATTTTAACACTTAAATGTCAATTAGCAATTGAAGTGACCTAACGAAATCTTAACTCGTCGGTTATGTTTGAGTCAGGAATTAACCTGGCTGTGCACAGACGTATCAAGAATTAGGCAACTTAGAACCTAACGAATGTACTGTATTCAGTCTTTTCAATCCATACAGTTTGTCTGGCCCTCATTTTATTACACAGAATTATGGACACATCCCTGGGCTTAATATTGAATTTGATTTGTGGTTTACGCGCTTAATATGGCAGGGTTTTGACTTTTGTGTAAACGTGGTGTATATATAATATGTGAGACCATGAAAGCCTTACAGCAATTTAAAAAATTGCAACTGAAATTTGCACCGCCAATAAAATTCGCAAAGTCCATCACTGATATGAAGTATTATGTGGCAAAGACACATGCTCATGAACGCTCGTAATAAATAAGCAGTTAAGGTGTGAATTTCACTTGCAGAATTGTACTGTATCTCAGGTCCCTTGTTTGACGTACCATGCAGCGTCCAGCGCTGTGACTACTACCGGAGTACTGGTGTCATGTAATGCACGATTTTAGACACTCAAATACCCGATTCGATTTTATTTGGCCATGCACCACGCTTCCAAATAGAATCGATTCACTTGCAGAATTGTACTGTACCTCAGGTCCCTTGTTTGACGTACCATGCAGCGTCCAGCGCTCTGACCACTTCTGGTATCATGTAATACACGATTTGAGACACTCAAATACCCGATTCGATTTTATTTGACTGCAAAAAGCAACAGGCTCTATTTAAAAAGGAATGAATTTCAAATTTAACTTACTTGGCAAACCAATGCAATCTTCCCAAAGTGTATTCTTCAAGTCGGGATCTTGATGGTAAAGACAATCATGTCTTACTGGTTTATAAGCTTCGTTTTCGTCCGCCGGCGTTTGCCTCAATGCTAATAAGTCTTTTTGCTGTTCGTTGTCTTTCAACAGTGTTGCTAGATGATCAATCCATTTCACGGCCAAACGCAGTATCTCAATCTTAGATATATCAATGTTCGCTAAAGGCAAAGTCTTTTTCAGAGTGACAAAAGCCTGGTTCAGTCTCACGTTTCTGCGACGTTCTCTGTCGTTAGCTGCACGACGTTGTCGACTTACACCAGTCAATATTCGTTTCTTCCTTTGCTTGCGTTTTTTGTCGTCAAGTTTTTCATTGTTGGCCTCCTCGTTGCTCGGTCCTGATTTCTCATGTTCAGGAATTGTCACAAAAGGCATCTTTGAAAACAATTCAAGTGTCTCGACTGGGTTGAACCGGGAATCATGCACGACGGTTGCCATCTGAGATCTAGCTCTCGGTATCTTCATCTTGACAATTGCAGTATAAACTGAAGACATGCAAGTTTTGAAAGGTATATATAGATTGCATGCGCGTCAATCATTCACGTTTTCGGCACAAGTTCAAGTAAGCGACGATATGATTTTAATTCCTCTCCATTAATAATCTGCATGTGTTGGCTTATGCAGGTAAGCCAAGGAATTCACCATAGCAATATGATGCACAATTACAAACAAAACTATACGAATTAAACTTTAGCCAAGACCACCACAAAGAAATTTTTAAATTTGTCTGCCTCTATAGATTTGTCTGTAATCTATGTGTGTAATAAAATATTTTTGATTTTTTTCTGTTCATCACACGAGCTTCATGCAACATTTAACATAGAACATTCAAGAATTCATGATAAGTAGAAATAAATACCAGAAATAAATTGGAACTACTGTATTTCGATTATACATTGCCAAATCTTAATAAACTGGCAAAAATTTGCTATATTAGATTATTAATTTCTGTCTCGATTAAAATCGTAAGAGGGGCTCAGCCTACCCCAAACTGAAAGGAGGAGCCTACCAGTTATATCTAGCCTCGCTTGTATCATGATAATTATACAAGGCGCATTAATATTAAATATCTGAGGGCACATTAATGAGCATACACAATGCTGCGGTATGCTATACACTTTCACATCTGCACTATAAATTATATAGGATATACTGAGGGGGACGGGCATGGAGAAGGACAACTACCCCTGAAACTCCCTTGTAACCCTTTGAAAGATATCTGATTAAATTAGCTAGGTAACTTACACCTATGCCAATGTTTTTAACTACAAACGTCTGCTAGGCTAGCGCGTTCATTTAATGCAAGTAACATTGATTTTAATAGCAATTTAACCTTTGTCCTAAATTTGCTTGTGTGCTACTCTATGGGCTCAAGCAATTGGGACGTGTCCATTCAATTGAAATGGACATCAGGTTTGACAACAAACAGATTATAAAACGAATTAATAAAAATATGTATAATTTATTTCCATCTACAAAAAACCCTTAACATTTAGTTTTACCAAGTGAGATATACCCACAATCATAGTCACACATATTCTGGCCCTGTATATTCTCACGGCATTGTTTTAGTATTTCCTGTATGGACCTGATATGCAGCAGGAGTTCAACTCAGTGCCAGGGATAGTAAAAAGTGCATTTGAGTAATTATAGAGAATCCAGGAACGCATGAGAATGGAGTTTATCACTACAGGGATGGGTTTACTTGGGGTGTGCACCCCCCCCCCCCAGCCCAGGCCAGAGAGGGTGCAGGGGAGGTGCTATTTTTCATGATAAAGCAAAAACATATTAGAGACAAAATGAGATACAGTAATTTGAGCAATAACATGATGATAAGCAAACTGTGAACAGCAATTACAATTCAAATACAGTAGTCAAGCAAGACTTTGCAGTAGAAGCACGTTGATGGGCGGGCGGCGCACATTACTGACACAACTCGGCACCGGAGATGGCAGAGCACCTCCCTACAATATCATTCTGGATCCATTCCTGTATCACTAAGACACTAACTAAATTTGTCAGTAACGAAAACTTTGGAACCATTCAACAATGAACTCTTACAATTATGGGATATTGGTGGGAAGTCTTCGCTCTTTCGCCGCTCTACGACTGGGGTTAGACCTAGCAGTTTGTCGATCTCATATGAACCCAATGGATGCTTTCAGATATCCTGAGTCAGGTTGATCGAATACCTCGATCTGCAGTTTCCCTACAGCTCGCAGAGATGGTTCTTGGTGAACCTTTACTCATTGAGCTGGTAATGCTATCCAGTCTGGGATGCAGTACTTTTTAATTTATTAATAAATTTGATAATCTACTACTAATCTCCATTTGTACAGACTATTTTCCATGGCAATATACTAATACAAACAACTATTAATATACATATAAACAATTGCATGTAGCCAAGGTCCTATGTGACTATTTTCCATGTGACTACTATTTTCCATGGCAATAAGACACGAATACAAACAACTATATTAATATAAAGATAAACAATTGCATGTAGCCAAGGTAAAGATATTTCAGTTAAGCTTACAATGATAAGACTTGAATAAATGCACTCATTAATTGGTGCGATTAAGATAAAATCATATTAATTAATAAGGAAATATACAAATTGCAATTGGCGGGTTCATTTCCTCTAGATATTATATACATGTAGGCTCGTGTCCAGGCAGTTCGAGTGCGCCTTATATGGGCAGGTATATATATATATATATATATATATATATATATATATATATATATATATATATATATATATATATATATATATATATATATATATACTACAGTTGAATGCCTTGTTTTGGTTGAAAATGATACCACTAGAAAGTAGAAACCACTCACAAAACATGACTGTTGCCTCAACTGCATGTTGGAAGAGTTGCTCCTGTTTTACCTAGTACACGACTGTACATGCAGGTTTTGCCCATGGATAATGGATGGTTCTTACTGCTAGGGAGAATATTCTAATGCTTATATACCGCGTATAGCGCAAATTAACATTTTTTAGTTAATTTTCAGGAAGCTTTCGCACAAAGTGATTTTCAGAAAGGTCCTGAACTAAATAAACAAATTTGCAAGAATACATGCATATACTAGTAATACTACATAACTATGAAAAATATTTTAAAAATATGCGAGGGAAAGTTCAAAGATTGCATAAAATGTTTCTCTTAAATGTCGAAATTTAACATACAATGTTATGATTAAATATTCATGTACATGTAGCTTGCTCCGAGCATGCATATATACTGCATAGAACAGTTACAGGATCAATAAAGCCATATTCAGTTTTAAGAAGGTTAGAGTTCACATAATCTAGGTTGCTATACATTTGGTATGCAAAATATGCAAATATTTCTGGTATTGCAAACTTCTTTTTATAATTAATCCTGATCAACTCGGAACTGGGCCACCTCGGATGACGTATACACGTGTTGAGTACCATGGCAACCAAAAACACAGACGACTATAATCGTTTCAAGAAGTGAAAGCAACTTTTATCAAATGAATCAAATACAGTTTTTTGTCGAATACTGTTTCAGTGCTCAAAATTTAAGTTGGCCACATACTATAAAGGTAATATGTGGGATATGCTAATTAGTTCCCTTGCAGCTGAATTGCGCAGGGCGCAGCTCACAAGCTAGACTTACTAACGTGAACTTCTTGCTGACACCATTTATAGCAATATATACCATACAACCTATGTCTGATCATGGATCACAGCTGTGGTACGTTGGAAGGGTACCCGAAGAAATTCCTCGAAACCATGCAACCATTGATCTACCTATATTAGTTTTAAGCACATCTACACATCTAGTCTGAGGTAGCCAAACGTCTACGAGGAAAATTGAGGTAGAGTCTATGACCCATCTAAGAAATATGCAATATCCTTCCCTTCTCGACCTTCTAGTACTAAATCGATGAGTTTGCTTTCTTGCGTGCAGCCAATACTTCGATAACCGAAACATTCATTTTAACTTACTCTCGTGACATTATAAACACTAGCTTGCTTCCGTGAGCATCATTCGTTCATATATGTGCATGTGTTCTTATTTCCGGATTCAGGTACGCACCTATAGTATATAATCCTAATCCAATAATACCTAAAATAACTGTGTTTTCCTTGTGTTTTTCTGTTTCTAGGATAAGTGGATTACCTTAGAAACGTAGAAAAATATAAGAAAAACAAAAACGAAATATATTTGAATATGTCTGAAAAATATACGTAAGGGCAAAGAGTGATAAAAGATTTGATGTGTCCCGTAAGTGGTGTATTTATTAAGTACACATATCTGTGACTGTCTTCGGGGCCTGTTCATATCACCCCGGTTGAGTGGGAGTTTTTGAACCATGCAAACATCCCGCCTCGGTGTGGACGAAATTATGTACAGTACAAATGGGGTCTTTGAAATATTTTTTGTTGTAATTAAATAAAGATTGCACCTTGTATAACGACTACGTTAATTTATGGTTGGATTTTTCAACTATGCTGTTCAATATACCATATATACTATGGATCAAAATCGGGAAAAATACTCCATCCCAGTCTGCAGGTCGGATAACCGTTCACATGGAAATTTTTATCCTACTTGACTAGTCGACTGAGATCCCCGAAAGGTGAGATCTCACCTAGCCGGGCTGGATCGTTTTTCATATGAACACAAATTAAATTGAATTGTATATATGTCAACGAAGGGTATGCAGATCTCACACAGGTGAGTTTCTTGTTTTCTGGGCTCATGACCAGACCCTTTGTGGTAGTTTAATTCAACAGTTGGCCGCAAACGGAATTACGGAAAGTTAACACTCCAGGATTTTATGGTCGTGCAACCTCTTTCATGCGTTCAATAATATCAGGTTAATTAAAGACTCAACAAGCTAGACGACCAACAACTTTAACGCTAGCTATTATACAGTAAGTCAAGTTGCTCCACTAAACCAGACCCACTAGGATTTTATAGCAACCATTTGCCCAAAACCCAACCACTCACCCACCCAATAACCCGGCTCAAAGTCAAAACACTGGCTACGCCCCTTGTAGTTGACTGTGTCATTAAATAAACTGTTATAGTGAATACTTCTATATGTGCATGTTTGCTACAAATAACTACTATAGGTATAGTTTGTCAAATTCATATTAGCTACAAACATCTTACAGCAATCTCAATTACGTCAATTTATACCAACAATTTTTAATTAAACTGCAAGTAAAGATATCTGTGTAAAGATATCTATGTAAAGATATCAGTTAATATGGCCAATGAAATGTAATAAAAATACCGTGTCACATGCATTTATATTAGCTACAAAATGTTGCAGCAATCAGGGCCGTACACGGTGGGGGGGGGGGGGCGGCAACTGTCCCCCTAGAGAAATCTATATTTTTAGAATATTGTTAATTATTCTTTGAATATTCGGGACTTTTCTCGGCATATAGGCCTTACTGTCCCCGGCCCTGGTTAAAAAATCCTGCGTACGGCCCTGGCAGCAATTGTAACGTGTTAGTTTATTATGATATAGTTTCTGATGAACAAGAAATCGAGAGAAGTAGCTATTCGTTTACATACGCATCGCTCGCTGCGCCTGTCAATCAAATAAATGTTTTCGTCATCGTGACGTCACCTGATAACATCGTGACAGCAATCTTAATTACGTCATTTTATACATACAATTTTTAATTAAACTACAATTTAAATCTAATTTAAAGATGTCTGTTAATATGCCAATGAAATGTAATAAAATATACCGTTAAATCTTCTGTTAAGCCCCGCCTCTTAAATGAGTTTCCTTCTGGCTAGAGGAATAAATTTATTAAAACGCCCCTCCCCTCTCCCTCACAAAGAAACCATGTTTACTGATTAGATTTATTTGACTCCCTGAAATTTGGACTCGAAGTATGCGTTTTTCAAACGTGCCTAAAATTATTAAATCAGCCCCTGAATTGCGCGGGGCTGGGGCTAAAAAGAGGATTTAGTATATTGACTATTGCATGAACAGTGCACCATTTTGGCATACCAAAGCCACATTACCCTTTGGATGTGAGCTAAGATTTGGTTTCAATCCCAGATGATTAATGTTAATACGACCACATGATCTTTGTAATTCACCAGTTTCTGTACAAAACTGTAGATATCTCCACTCGTTACCCATCATTGTTCGAACCAAACAAATGATTTTATTAGAGCGATAATTATACCTTACAGTACAAGAGCTGGGAGAGCCCGAACCAGCAGGCAGTGTTAGTTTAATGTCTCGCTCTGAACGTCCTTCCACTGAGTAAATATGAAGATATATGGAACTAGGTCTGCTGTGTTTCCTTACTGCAACAAGCATAATTTCGTTATAATTGGAACTAAACATGTCCTTTACAACTAGATTGTCAGAGATGCGTGCAGGAAAGCTATTCTTCAACTGCCCGTTCCTGTCACATATGTAAACATTGTGATCATTCTGCTCAAATTCACAACAGAAAACAAGTCTTTTATCTTTGGTTATTCCAAAACACCGACATTCCTTCCCTGTTAGAAATTCAACGGGTTGATGATGAATAACCTTTCCATTTGAATCACAAACAGATAGATTATAATGATCAGTCTCTTGACTGTAACGTGTCAGCAAGTACACTGTATCATCTTCATCGACAGCTAAGTAGTTGCATTTGATGTCTTCTTCTTCTCCCTTGTCCAACGCAGGAATATTAAATTGCTCTAACTTGCCCGTTTCCCTGTCGAATTTTGCAAGGAAACACTTAGTAGGGTCAGGACAAAGTATTATATCTCCTTTGCTGTTTACAGCAGAAAGACTTCTAAATTGAAGCATGTCACGAACTTTAATGCACCAGGGCGGTGTTATGCTTGTCAGCTCATTCTTCATAGTAGTGACTTCATAATAAATTGGATGATAGACATTCGCGTCACATTCTATCAGTGGCCATTTGAAAATACTTAATGGTTTTTCGGTGGTTGTAAATGTGGTGATAAAATCAAGCAGAGATAAATTGATCGTAATGACGGATTCTACGATTTCAGCGCGTCTTTCTCTACTAAAAATCGATTTAAATCCTCCGTTAGCGTATACATCAAAGATCTCGAATATTTCTGGAATCTTATGCAATTCTTTCAAATATTGCAGACAGTCACAGGCTGCTAAATCAGGATCGGCCAAATGTTGAAGTATTCCGCTTGCGATACGGACTTGACATGCAAGAATTCTCGCTTCTATGCTTAGCGAGCGGTTGTGGAATGCCTTGCCTGCATCTCTTGCCGCATTTTTAAAAGATTCCTCGGCCAACTCATATCGTTTGTTCGGAATACTCTTCAGTGTACCGACGACGTGAGCAAGTGCAAGTACTTGTTCAATATCTGGCATAGCTTCACTAGATGGCCCCATGGATGTCAACGACATTTCTGATTGTTTCTTAATAGCGTTTGGCAATTGCGACTGGCCAGTACCATCTACTGAATCACTAAAAGACAAATTTAGGCGCACCACACCTTGGTTTAAGCAGCTGATCCCATTATCAAGTTCTGTCAGACCAAGAGCGTCCAGTCTATCCTTGATATCATCAAGTTCACTGACAATTAGCTTTCTAAATTCTTTGTCAGCAAGCCCACCATTTTGCAGCCTTTGAGCACAGTGGGCACGAACTTTCTTTGACAACAGACCAAAGGTAAGCTTAACTACACTTACTATTACTGCAGACATCGCTTCAGAACTCAGATGAATCAGTAATGGAAATACGGGGAACTATTACGTTATTTTATGCATGCAGGTACAATGGTTATCGTTATGATGAAAGATAAATATAGAGCGATCGATGCCATGCATGTAATAAAAGAAAAACAATTTCTTTCTGATTTAGAGCATTTTCCTCGTTAGTTAGCGAGAACCCGTGTCAGGCCACGGAAACTCCCCACAGTTGTCCTCACAGTATACATTTTACAAAAAAAGCTACAATAGTTATCGTAAAATATAATTAGGCCTACAAGCGGTGTGTTAGATGTGGTATCTAAAAGGACTTTATAATTCAAGGACTTGATACAGCTAGCTAGTTTGCGTCATTCCCTTGTGAACGTGTGTGCGTTTTACCGCATGCATTGAAAAAAGCGATGAGTATTTCCTATAATTACGGGAGGAGGATATGCACTTTTCTTTCATCTGATCACGCGATACCAAGCGAAAAATGTATTATTTTTGCCGTACTTCTCAATTCTAAATTGATCTTAAAAATAGCAGTAAGATAAAAACAGAAAAGAGGTAGATCAATATAGTCAGGAAATCCGCTCTCCCTTATTAAACTGACAGATATGCAAAATATCTGCAAGTATCTGTCACATATCGGCTATATGTAAAAACGGGATCGACCAGGGACCCAAAAGCCCATGTAAGGGGGTCATTTTTCAAGGGGTCTTTTTGGAAGGGGCTTCGGGGCAAATTTAATATTTGGGACCCTAGTGATTTTCTATCATCAAAGATTCTTGAAGTTATGTGCTCTTTTCCAGACTGATTTCCATGTTCTTGCAAACATCGCGGCCTCAGGGTATTTTGCCTCCACGGCTGAAGGTCGGCGAAAATGGCCCTGGGATCAGCTGGTCACATGACACTCAGAATTTCTGGGTGTTTTGATATGATAATTTATGTGAAACTAAATCTTTGTTGTTTGTTTGCAAATAATAAGTGAGAAGTAATGATGCAATTTGCCAACTTATTCATCTAATGCTTTTGAACAGACCAATGGGACCAATTATTTTACACGTAAACATTTATTACTTTTATTGTTTTTCATTTTCATTTTTCATTTGCGTTGGGCCATTTTAATTACAAGTTTCACGCCACTTATTTATATCCTGTTTATTTTCAAGATTATATATGTATAAATTTATTTGCTGACGTGACGCCGGTGCCATGTTTTTTACAAGATTCCGCAGGCCCTCGCCAGATTGTGTGTGACCTTCCCATGACGCAACGAGGGCCTGCGGAGAAGGCAGCAGTCGTGGAGGCAAAATGCCCTGGGGACGAGCTAGGTTGATATTCCAGTTATTTCCTTCGCCTTTGAATGATTATATAACATTTTCAATGCGTATATTCTGTGCTTAAACAGTTCCGTGGTTTTTTTAAATCTGATAAGAGTCCCTAGAATAGCAATTCCTACATTCTGGGAGATTATCATAGTTTAACTGTGGTTTCTATGCACATTTTACTTTATCCTTACCTGCAATTGGCATTTTGGCGCTTATATACGAACGACATTTGGTGTTAGTAATAACATTTATTGTACCTGTGCACTATATCGTGAACGGAAATTACTATATACATAAAGTATATCACACACAGTTAATTGTAATAAACAAGTTGGTTAACATATTATAATGCTGTAATTAATGTAATTATCATCACTTGTCTGCGGAGCAGTTGTCCAATAATAAGGGATACATATATGAGTATGCCACTGACTCGGAAACCCTCTGGTTATATACCACTTATTTCACTATGTAATTTTTTCGACAAGCCTTCCTAAAATTCTGAGAGTCCTGACTGCAGAACGTTTGAGTCTCAGCTGCAGAAAATGAGCAAAACCATGTTGGGTTGCCACAATTAGGTCACAAGATGGCGGTCGGACGCATCGATCTGAGTTCCGTCGTTTTTATTGTAGCAGTAAGATTTTTGCTACTGATATCTCAGTCTAGCATTGCAAACAACTCAAATGAAGTTTCGCTTCACTTATGGAGATATTGTAAAACGTGTTATGCTGAAAAACCTTGCCTTGTTGACGGAAAGCCACTTAGACTTAGTCGTTTACATCGAGACTTTACATGTCGTAACGGTCTACTTGTGGGCAGCCTTCTGCTTCTCTGTGGAGACATTGCTACACAACCTGGTCCTGGTTGTCGGATTAACAGTAACGCAAATACATTGTATTGTTCTGCGATCAAGTGCCTTTATATGAATGCTAGAAGTGTGGTCAACAAGCGTAGTGAGTTACAGGCATTATCGATTGGGCATGATCTCATATTTTGTGTTGAATCATGGCTAAAACCTGATGTCTTGAATTGCGAACTTCTCCCGAGTGCTGAATATACTATTCACAGACGAGATCGAGTTGACAAGGTCGGCGGTGGTGTTTTTCTAGCAGTAAGAAACACCATATTGAGTGTCCGCAGGAATGATCTAGAAACAAATGCCGAAATAATGGCGTGTGAACTTCGCTCAAATTCTAGACGAAATATTTTGGCAGTCGCTTTCTATAGGCCACCAGACTCTGATCTTAACTGTTTGAAAGAATTTAAGAAACTCCTGCGACTTGCTAGCCGCACAAAATTCGATCAAATTATTGTCTTGGGTGATTTTAATCTCCCTAAGATTAACTGGTCAACGGGAACTGCGACGACTGGAGATCGTATTCACAATTATTTCACGAAGATCGTCAAGGACTATTATTTGTGGCAGTTAGTTGACTTCCCAACTAGAGAGGAGAACACCCTTGATCTAATTTTAACAACTATTCCCACTAGGTTCCGTAATATCCACGGATTTGACGACATAATTTCCACCGATCATAAACTAATTAGTTTCGAGCTAGATCTCAAAATTACAAAAAAGCCGAACATAAAACGTGTTGTTTATAACTTTAAGAAAGCCGACTGGCCAGGTCTTAAACAAACTCTCAGTAATATCTCCTGGGACCTATGCTTTGTTCCTAATGACGTTGACTTATCACTTGCTAATTGGAGTGACTTATTTCTTTGTGCAGTTGACAGTCATATTCCCAAGTCTAGTTCCCGTAAAGCCTGCCGCACACGAGAGCTATCTGCTGAGCAAAAAGTTACTCGTGCCTGTTAGCTCAGCCGATAGCTCACCGTGTGCGGGTACATTTTACTGAGTTTTTTTCCTCATGCAACCTTTTCTCACGTATCAAACATGTTTGATCGGTGAGCTATCGGCTGAGCTAACAGGCACGAGTAACTTTTTGCTCAGCAGATAGCTCTCGTGTGCGGCAGGCTTAACGTGCATGACCACCCATGGATTGATAATGAAATGCGTTTCCTTTTGAAAAAGAAAGACACACAGAGACGGATTGTAAACAAAGTCCGCTCGCAATCAGCAAAGAAAAAATATGACGATCTCTGACGTGCAGCAAAACAACTTTTAGCTAAAAAAAGACAAGAACACGCGCATATAAGCTTAAAGAATCTGTTGCCACAAACCCAAAGTGTTTTTGGGGTTATGTCAAATCTTGCACCTCAAATAATCGTTCTTGCAATTTTATACGAGACGGTCGTTCATTTATAACTGATA